AGGGAGCTTGGGGTTCACATGTGTAATTGTCTGAAGCTGGCCGGGGGAGTTACAACAAGAAGGTTTATAGGTTCTTTTGGTTCATAAATAGAGGCATGGGTTACAAGAGGTGGGGAAGTGATATTACAAATCATTGGTCAGACCACATTTGCAGTATTGTGTTCAGTTCTGGACCTTCCATCGGAGGTTTCAAGAGAGAGCTGGACTATATAGAGTCATAGAGTTGTACAGCATGGAAACAGGCCCTTTGGTCCAACTTGCCCATGCTGACCAAATATCCTAAATTAACCTCATCCCATTTGTCAGCATTTGGCCCATATCCCTTCCTATTCATGTACAAGGGCAGCAGGTACATGGGAACACCACCCACTGCCAATTGCCCTCCAAGCCGCTCCCTATCCTGACTTAGAAATATATCGTCATTCCTTCAGTGTCGCTGAGTCAGAATCCTGGAATTCCATCGCTAAGGGAATTGTGGGTTTACCTGCAGCTAAAGGGCTCCAGAGGTTCAAGAAAGCAACTCACCTGCAAGGTGCATCTAGGGATGGGGGAATAAATGCTGGGCCAGGCCAGAGACATCCACATGCCATTAACGAAGTTAACCAAGAAGTAATCAGTGTGCTCAATGTTCTGTACTGAACAAGAATAACAATTATTACAAGGAATTAGACTTCAGCAACAGGTAATCCAGCCAATGACACCCATTCCCACGAGTCATTAAAGAAACAGTGATTTATAGGTCACGTGATCTAACTGCTTAGACAGTGCACAGTTCAGAAAACATTTCCTTCCTCTCCTCCTCTGCAGTGAATATGACCCGCATTATGGGAGCTATCATTGGAGGACTGATCATTGTGGTGGTATTGTTGCTGATTATAGGAGCTTGTATGTACTGGAGGAGAAAGCGAGGTTGATGATTTTTATCCTTTTCACACCTTTTGGGAGGGGGGTGTTCTTTTGCAGCACAACGGTAGTGTCCACACCTCTGGGCCAGGAGAACCAGATTCAAAGATGTTGCCAGGGCTGAAGGGTTTGAGCTATAGGGAAGAGGCAGAATAGGCTGGGGCTATTTTCTCTGGATTGTCGGAGGCTGAGGGGGTGACCTTATAGAAGTTTCTAAAATCACAAGGGGCATGGATAGGGTGAATAATCAAGGTCTTTTCCATGGGTTGGGGGAGTCCAAAACTAGAGGGCATAGGTTTAAGGTGAGACGGGAAAGATTTAAAAGGGACCCAAGGGGCAACTTTTTCACACAGAGGGTGCTGCATATATAGAGCGAGCTGCCAGAGGAGGTGGTGGAGCCTGGTAAAATTGCAACATTTAACAGGCATCTGGATGGGTACATGAACAGAAAGGGATATGGGCCAAATGGGACTAGATTAATGTAGAATATCTGGTCAGCATGGACAAGTTGGACCGAAGGGTCTGTTTCTGTTCTGTCCATCCCCATGATTCTGAGTCCTACCTGCTGCAGACGCGATGTCCCAACATCCCTGAACTGTCTGATTGGACAATGTTTCCAGCCTGGGAGTTTTGTACGTTTGAGGGCAGAGACTAACGCTGAAACTAAAGGTGATCAATTGGACAGAGAGTCTTTCTCTCCTCCACCCCCACCCACCCTCCCAACCCCAACAACTTCCAACCAAGTCGCGTGGGTGTTCTGTTTTAGTTTTTCTAAGATTGCTCCCCCTTTGTGTTCCATAGAGGCCTGTCACCCAAACACGTTGGAAGTAAATCTGGAAGCTATGTGCGCGCCAATTGCAGTCTGTGGAATTCATCGATTGTCATTGAGATCGCAGCATATGGGAGCAGACTCAGGCCATTTGGCCCATTAAGTCTGGTCCACCATTCAGACACGTCTGGTATGTTTGTCAACCCCATCCTGCTGCCTTCCGTCCCCCCTCCCATAACCCTTGATTATCTTACTGATCATGAACCCCTGCCTTGGCCTCCACAGCCTTCTGTGGTAATGAGTTGCACAGATATGCCACCCTCTGGCCAGGGAGTGTGACACAAACTTACGGGTATATTCCAGGGAGAGTGTATTTGCAGGTGTGTGCCATGAAGCGTGACTCTATTCACACCGCACCAGAAATTAGGTAGAAAATGAGCAAGTTTGCTTTCATTGCTTTATTTAAAAAACCTGGATAGTAACAGACAAGGCAACCAAGCGGATTTTTCAACCAAATTAATTAGCCGACATTTTACTCTGTCAAATCGACTGCTCACCCTGATGTGTGAGTGCGTCAAGTTTTCCTTATTAATCCTGGGAGTGACAGAAAAGTAGCAACTGCCTCAGCTTGATCATGAAGCAATCGACTGGTCTATCTGATATTTGGCTAACGGTTCCACTCAGTGGAAGTCCACTTACAATTTTGACCCAAGCTGGGAATGCAGATGGCTTTCTGACTACATTCCTAATTAAACTGCTTTTTCCGTGAGAATTTCTTGGGTTTTTTGACAATGCATTCTGAAGCTGTTGATAGCTGCACACTCCAGGGAGCAGATATCGAATGAACCGAAAGGTCAAAGGTGAGAAAATATTTTTGATTGTTCAGCAACTAGTTAAGTTCTGCCTGGAAATGCGGAGGAGGCAGGTTTAAGTGAGTTTTTGGAGAGGGGGCATTGGACAGTGATATGGATAGAAATGGCATGCAGGGATATGGGGAAATGGCAGGAAATTGGCATTAGGTAATAGAACCAGTACAGGCATGGTGGGCTGAATGGCCTCCTTTTCACTGTAACCATTCTGTTAAGGTGACGAATGCCACAGCAGATTAACAATTCGCAATGGTGAGTCAAATAATGTTGTGAAAATGTGCACTGAAGTTAATGTTGCACCCTTTCTCCCTATTTTTAGGGAATCATTAAGCAATCATTTTAAAACTGACAGAGCAATTAGGACCAGAGCGTCAAATGATGGGGCACAGATCTATCGCTGGCTTCTTCAGTCAAGATCAACGTGCTCCGTAGAATTCTCAACGTATATTTTTCAGGGAAAGTGGAAAACCCGGACCTTCATCCTTCTGAGTGTGACGAAGGTGACTGTCTCATATCTGCATCAAATGGAGCCCCTGTGTCCATTCTCTCACCATTATCAATAAACAATCAGTTATTCATTGCTATTGGTCCTTTAGCTAGTGATGGGAAGCAACTGGCATTCTCTGCTGCCTGTGGAACAGGAAGATAGTCATCTTGATTAGTTCAGTCAAATGTGTCTGTGACCCAAACCAGGACCTGTTTGAGCTGCATGAGTGTTTATGTTCAAAGGCAAGGTGACTACTTGCTATTGTAAGGGGTTAAAGCTTTGATTGAAGCCAATATCGTAAACCCTCACGTTTTCTCCAGCTTTACGACTCTCCCATTCCCTGTATCCTTATCCTAGTCATAGCAAAATATCGTGGCTGCTGTGATTCTGAAGCTATCGCAGAGAATGCTCAGCAGGTCTGGCAGCATCTGTGGTGCGAAGGAGAACCAGAGTTAATGTTTTGACTCTGATGTGACATCTGCAGACGTCACATTCTCCAAATGTCCAGATACTGGAATGGAAAGCAAGGCTATCATTAAAGAAGCAATCATAGAATCCCTACATTGTGGAAGCAGGCCACTCTGACCCTCCAAAAGAGCTTCCCATCCAGACCCAAACCCCCTACCCTATCCCCATAACCCTGGACTTCCCATGGCTAATCCACCTATCCTGCACATCCCTGGACACTATGGGAAATTTAGCATGGCCAATCCACCCTAACCTGCACATCTTTGGACAGTGGGAGGAAACCGGAGCAACTGGAGGAAACCCACGCAGACACGGGGAAAATGTGCAAACTCCATACAGACAATCTCCTGAGGGTGGAATCAAACCCAGGTCCCTGGCGCTGTGAGGTAGCAGTGCTAACCATTGTGCCGTCCAATTGAAACAATGCAATTATGGTCTGTATGACCTTACACAAGCGAGACACCAGGATATGATGAAATAATTGTCTCATGTGATTACAGTGTACTTTGTGAGACTAATTTATAATCTCCCTTGCCTCTGAGACTGCTTCTAATGTGTTACTGAAATGATTTTGTTAAGCATGAATTATCTGCAGCGTGATAAAGTTTTGTTAATATGTTAAATTAAAACAAATTATGTATAAGATAGTCTAATAAATATTTATAACATAAAATATAACAACAAACTTTTCTCTTGACGATAACTAGCAGCCTGTACTGATTGGAACAAGGTCAGCCAAATGGACCTCATAGACTATGAGTTCCCTGATTGGGGCTGTTAACCTGGTCCAATTAGGGAGCCCTGGCTGTTAACTTGGTCCAATCACAGAGCCCTGGCTTTTACCCTTTGTCCAATCAGGGAGCCCTGGCTGACAGACATGAACAGGAGTATCAGATGTTTTGCTGCACTCTGTGAGGTGGCTCTGAGGAGGCTGGACAAGTGTCAAGGACTCTCCATGCAGAGTGACTTGGTGACAGAGTACCAGCCTCTGAGGATTAATGTCACAGCTGAATGCTCAATTTGACCCTGTGGTATTGTGATATATTCGAGATAAAAATCAGTTGTACAGAAAAGATTTGCAGCATCAATGTTGCTGTCTTGATTGCATTCGCAACGTAAAGTGCTAACTTTTACTGAAGTTCAAAAATGTACTTTATTCATAAATAATCTTTATAGACATACATAGTCACTGGAGCATTTCTGTTCTGTACACAGTCTTTACATATGTGAAACAAACAAACCCAAGGCATTTCTTCTTTATGCAAGACCATATTTACGTACATCTGAGGCTGAGCTGAATGGACCCCCTTATAACTTCAGCACAAAAATCGTAGATGGTGGTCTTAGCCCACTGACCTTGGAATATGCCAGTCTGCAACACTCAGGTGAGGTCAACTCCTTGCTCTGGAAGACCAACAAGTTTTGGGCAGACCAGAGAGTGCCTTTCACCGAGTTGATGGTCCTCCAGGAGCAGTTGATATTTGTCTTGGTGTTTGTCCTGGGGAACAGACCCCAGAGCATGGAGTGACGGAGCCGCCCATGACCAATCTTGACACAAACCACTGCATCTTTCTCCAGGCTTCATTTGCAAAGGCACATTCCACCAGGAGGAGTGTGAGGGCACTGTGCGGTGGCGCAGGCCGACCGGGTGTACATACAGGATCTCACGGGTAGTGCCCTTCTCACCATCAGCCAAGCAATGTCTTGGTGCTTGTTAGAAAGTTCTGGTGATGAGGCATTCTGCCAAATGGCTTTGACAGTCTGCTCAGGGAACCAGGCGACATGATCCACCCTCTCCTTTTCCCTCAGGGTCTCGGGGACGCTACAGGATCCACCCTCTCCTTTTCCCTCAGGGTCTC